AGCCGCCATCCGCAGCTCACAGCGGGCGGCGGAGCCAGAGGAGGCGGGGCAGGGGGTGACGGGACTGGCCCGAGCAGGAGGCAGCGCCGGGCGTGGCTGGTTCGAGGCAGAGACACAGTTTGCAAAGCTGCTTTATTGGCCATTGTGGAGCAAGAGATTTAGGATCAAAGGGGCTATGGGGCCCTTCCCCTGTCGGCCTTCCAGGCACCCCCAAGGGTGCTACTGGGCTGCAGGGAGGGCTGGATATAACCCCCCTCGGCGCCCCTGCACTTCCATCCCCAGCTGTGTCCCACGGACCCCAGCAACGCGGCCCCACCCGGTGCCGAGGGGGTACGGACACCCCGAGGGGGTTGGCCGGGCAGTGCTGGGGCAGATCCGTGCGGGCTCACAGAGCGGGGAGGAGCAGGGCGGCGAGGATCAGAGCGGCTGGAGGGGGGGGGGCGCATCACATACCCCTGGATCCAGCTGTCATAGGCCATCACCCGGGTGAAGACCCCGGGGAACTCGGGCTCAGAACAGAGCTCTCCGCTTACATTTCTGATCCTAAACCAGCTGACGGCTCCAGCCAGGTACCAGGTGTCGCCCTCTTCGCAGGCCAGAGGCCCCCCGGAGTCGCCCTGGGGAGAGAGAAAGGGGGTGAGGGGCCCAGGAATCCAAAGGCTGGAGGGGCAGAGAACACGGCCGGTGGGAGCACAGGAGCAGCCAGCTCTTGGGTGGTGGTGGGGGCAGATGGCTGCCCGGCTGGGGGCTGCACTGGGGTCACACACAGAGGGGAGAGGCTCTCACATTGCAGAAGCCCTTGGGGCTGTCCGTGTACCCAGCGCAGAGCATGCTGCTTTTGATTCTCTCTGGGCCCAGCGGTGAGTTTGGATTCAGTGAGTTGTAACGATCATTGCAAGCCGCGGTGCTGATGATGGGAACCTCCAGTTGCTGCAGGGTCTTGGGTGTTGGGAGAGGCTCTGGAGAGAGAGAGCGGGGGTGCAGCGGGGTTACCCACCTACCTCTGGTCCCCCTGCACCAGCCTGCTAGGATCCCGAGGTGGCCTCTATGCCCGGGTGCAGCTTCCCATGCACCTGAAGCTTAAGCAATTTTAGCTTAACAAAGACAGGGCCAGGGCTGGGGCCAGCTGGATCCCAGTCTGCGCGCCCCTCCCTGGGGGCTGAGGGCGGAGGAGGGGCTGGCTGCAGGGACCCGGGCAGCCCCTGTGACAGGGGGGCAGACCCACGTCAGCGCGATTTGCCAACGACCTGGCACAGCCTCCCTCCGGGCAACGTGCAGACCCAGAGGGGCCCGTCTCGGGCTGCGGTTCGCCAGGGCTGGGGCCAGCTGGATCCCAGTCTGCGCGCCCCTCCCTGGGGGCTGAGGGCGGAGGAGGGGCTGGCTGCAGGGACCCGGGCAGCCCCTGTGACAGGGGGGCAGACCCACGTCAGCGCGATTTGCCAACGACCTGGCACAGCCTCCCTCCGGGCAACGTGCAGACCCAGAGGGGCCCGTCTCGGGCTGCGGTTCCGTCTCGGGCTGCGGTTCCGTCTTCGGGAGGTCGGTGTCGGGGAGACGTTTTGCCAGCCCCCCCCAACTCCCAGCCCCCAGCCCCTACCCCCCCTCTGGGCC